CCAGAACTGAACGCAGTTCTCAGCATCAAGCGAACTTGGTGTCCTCCCCTCGGCAGTTCTCTTGGCACAATCGCTTAGGCCACCCGAATAACAAGATTTTACATTCTTTAGCTCTTTCTAATCCTTCGTTACATATACCCTGCAATAATTCTGTTTGTCACTCATGTAAAACATCCAAGAGTCACAAGATTCCGTTTGAAAGATCAGATCATCAAACGAAATCGGTGTTAGATCTCTTACATTCGGATGTTTGGGGTCCTGCTCCAGTTGCTTCTACTAACGGTTTTCTTTACTATGTACTTTTTGTCGATGATTTCACACGTTTTACTTGGCTTTTTCCAATGCATTGTAAGTCTGATGTAACTCAAATCTTTATCAATTTCAAAAATCAGATTGAGAAACTTACTTCAAAACAGATAAAATGCATTCGTACCGACGGTGGCGGTGAATTTCTCAACCATACATTCACTAACTTTCTTAAAACTCACGGCATAAGTCACCGAATGTCGTGCCCATATACGCCCGACCAAAACGGCGTTGCCGAACGTAAGCATCGGCACATCATCGAAACCTCACGTGCGTTGCTTTCCACTGCCAACGTCCCATATCTCTACTGGCCAGACGCTGTATTGACTGCTGTGTACTTGATAAATCGGATGCCATCTCCTACTACTCACAACATTTCGCCATTTGAATTATTTCATCAAATTAAACCAAGTTATACTCATCTTCGTACTTTTGGTTGCACATGCTTTCCTTTATTACCGTCTCATGCTCGACATAAACTTCAACCAAAAGCTAACTTGTGTGTTTTCATAGGCTATTCTGACATTTACAAAGGTTACAAGTGTTTGGATTTATCCACCTCCAAAATTACTATCTCTAGGCACGTAACATTTGACGAACAGGATTTTCCTTTTTCAAAGAAATCCACTACAACGGCTCAGAACATTACTCCAACTTCACCTGCTCTCCTGCTTCCTCACTCAGTGCAGCAACATCACAATCAAAGCAAACCGGTTTCTCACAGCTGCTCCGAATCCTCCAACTCTGCTCAACAGTCTTCTCAAGAAAACAATGCCACTTCCTGTTCCACCAGTCCCTGCCGTAACTCAGCTATCCAGCCTGTTATTCAGTCCAAGCATCCAATGGTGACTCGTAGCAAAACCGGATCTATCAAACCAACAGTCAGACTTAACCTGCTTCACAAATCCGAGACTCCTCCACAAGACTCTGAACCAACTTGTTATACAGAGGCGGTCAAAATACCTGAATGGCGTAAAGCAATGGCGGAAGAATTTCTGGCATTGCAAAAACAAGGTACTTGGACACTTGTTCCGGCACCGGACTCTTCGGTTTTGGGTTGTAAATGGACGTATAGAACCAAGCATCACGCTGACGGTTCTATAGCCAAATACAAAGCTCGATTAGTCGCATTAGGTAATAATCAAGAATTTGGCACCGACTATACTGAAACGTTTAGTCTGGTTGCTAAATTACCCACCATACGAATTTTTCTTGCCATTGCCATGCATTATGATTGGCAGGTTCAGCAGCTCGACGTCGCCAACGCATTCCTACACGGACAACTTCAAGAACTGGTTCACATGAAGCAACCTCGCGGCTTCGAAGATCAATCACATCCGGATTACGTTTGTCGTCTACATAAAACTTTGTACGGGCTTAAACAAGCTTCGCGCCAATGGTATAACACTTTCACTGAACAACTTCTCTCTCTCGGTTTCATTAACAGTAAATCCGATCCCTCCTTATTTATATTCAATCAATCCAAGTCTCAAATATTTTTACTTGTTTACGTTGACGATATTTTAATTACCGGCAATAACTCTCCTCTTATCTCTGAGATTATAACTAAACTCAGCAAACGTTTCATTCTAAAACATCTCGGCGAAGTGCACAATTTCTTGGGAATACAGATCACTCGGCAACAGCACCAATTCTTCCTCTCTCAAAAACAGTATGCCTCATCAATTCTGCTTCAAGCTCAGCTCCAGCAGTGTAATCCCATCGCAAATCCTTCCTGCACCAAGTTACCTACAGAACTCCAACAAGATGCCATACTCTCGGATCCTACGTTATACAGGAAACTCACGGGATCTTTACAATATTTAACGATCACTCGTCCCGATATCGCATACACCGTCAACACACTCTCCCAGCACATGCAAAATCCTCTACCGCAACATACGTTTCTTCTCAAACGGCTACTTCGCTATATCAAAGGTACGTTAGAATTTGGGTTACCTATTTCCAAATCTAAACTTCAACTTTCTTCTTTTTCAAACGCTGATTGGGCTGGAGATCCAGTGACCCGCAAGTCTACCTCCGGATTCTGTTCTTTTCTTGGCACTAACCTCATCTCGTGGACTGTTAAGAAGCAACATACAGTCGCGCGCTCATCCACTGAGTCTGAGTATAGAGCCCTTGCCGCCCTTACGGCTGATGTTATCTGGCTTCGCAAATTACTAGCAGAATTCGGCATAACACAAACTACTCCAACTGATATATTCTGTGATAACATGTCGGCGATTGCACTCGCCAACAATCCAGTGTTCCATGCCAGAACCAAGCACATCGAGATTGACCAGAAGTTTATCCGGGATCACATCCTTCACAACAATATTCAGATTTTGCCCATCAATACAATTGACCAAACAGCGGATATATTTACCAAATCATTATCTACCTCAAGATTTCAAGCTCTTAGGAACAAACTAACGGTTGTTCACAATCCTTTAGTTTGCGGGGGAATATTAGGGAATAAACCAATTGTAATTAAATAATATGTCTTAATGAGCTGGCATCATACGTGTGGCTAGCCAATTGTCTTTTCTGTCTTTAGTTGCCTATATATATAGGTTGTACCTTAGCTGTTTTGAGATATACGAATACATCTTTATTTCCTTCATCTCTTTCCCTGTTCTGCTCCAAGAACCGAAAGGTTCCAGTGCAAGAACCAAAAGGTTCTACCGATTCTACAATATAAAACATCCATAAAAAATGCCAAAATAAGTTAGGAAAAAGAGAACAGCCTTGACAAACGCCCAAAGAAGAGCTAAAAAAATCTTTTAAGGAACCATTAATTAAGCACAATCGAGAAAAATATATCTTCAATACACCCTTTGATCCAAGAAATAAAAATCTTAGGAAAACCTTTTTGGGCTATCTTAAATAACATAAAATCTCTAGAGATAGTATCGAAAGCCTTATCAATATTCAATTTAGCACAAAAAAAAACTTGTTTCTAGCAATACTATTAAAATCTCTTAAAAGTTCAAAAGCTAGTAAAATATTATTTGTAAAAACCCGCAAATGTAAGCTACCGCCCACATGCATGTAATGTATGGAATGATGCAAATAAAAGAATATTGCATAAATAAAATAAAATTTATTCATTTATCGATTTGAATGTATACAAAAGACTCTGATTATGCAGGAAAGTAAGATTGTCAGATATATATCTTTTATATCTTCGATCGTATATTTAATCTCCTATTTAGTATCTGGAGATGTATCCCTAAACTTAAGAGTCATTAAGATCATATGAAGTTTATAAATAGAGTTTGTTAAAAATTTTAACATTCGTTGAAAAAGAAATTACCAGACTCTAGATTATTTGATATTATTAAGCAATATTCATTATCATCAAATAAACATAGAGTAGCGAAGCCAACACCTGATTTCGATGCGTATTTATGTATTTTGTAGTCCACGTGTTCAAATTCTTGGGCTTCGCCTTTATTCCAATTTTAGGGTGTTAAATTTTGCTTGGCAAATTTATTTACACAACTGGAATACAATTCAAGAGAAAATTCTATTATCTTATTCATGAATGGATCATTAAGGGTTACATCATATTTAGAGGGTTTATCGGTGGAAGATACAAATATATTGACTTTAGTGTCGATGTTTAAATGAAGAGATTCTTTCACCTCTAACTTTTTTACATCATTTTAGGATAGTGAGATTAAAGTAATATTTTGTACATACCTTTATAATCTCTTCATAGTAGATAAATCCGAATTATCTTTCCTAGCGACTTGGACCCTATCATCGTCACTATTAGTTTCTATAAAAATCTCAAAATTTGGCTAATTGATGAATTTCTTATATTCTACATCTTACGAATTTTTTTTCAATCATATATGATTTGTCATCCGAATTAAATTTCAAATCAATATGTATTACAAATTCCCTTATTTGCATATATTTAATATTTTCATTTTCTCATAGATGGCCTATAAAAATAAAAGAAACATGTCTAAAAAAACTATAAGCTTTCGAATTTATTGGGGGTTTACCTGGTGAAAAAAAGAGTAAAACGTTGTCATTTACTTACTCTAAACTCCATTATTTATCACATATGGCGTGAGAGAAACAATAGGAAATTCAGTTCCATAGCTCGATGTGAAATCACTCTTTCTAATTTGATAGTCAAAGCTGTGAGACTCAAAATCTCTAATTGGAAAGGAGGGGAAACATTGAAGGAAACATGCGCCTTATGAATTATTTATCACTGATGGGTGGCTATTCATTTATGGATAGGTTTATTAGCCTCTGGAGGGATACTCGTGCTTTAACTGATAACTGCGAGCTGTATTTCATATTTGATTTGGCAAGCATCAGGCCATGGACAATGATATTGACTTGCCAAATATCTCCCCCTTGGATGGTCTCAAGGCAACCAAGGGATTTTGCATGGTATGATCTGAACTTTGACAGCTAACACTGAATCCTAGGTGGCTATTTAAGCCTGCTTTTCTTTTATTTCCCTTTTCTAGATTCAAATTTTATGTTTGATTGATTCCATTAACTTATGTTTCTTTCTTTTCTTTGTTATTCTTTTCATACATTTGTAAGAAGTTATATTTCTGTTTGGTTATTTTTCACTAAATTATAAAAAAAAGGCAAAACTCAAATTTTCCCAAAAAAAAAAAAAAAACAAAAAAACAAAAAAAACTATAAATGTAATCCGCTCCCCCCAAGCCGGAGTCCAGTGAGATCCGACCAAACGCTTATTGCTATCGCGCTGCCGCTCGTACGTCTTCTCAGCTCCTTTCTCTTTTCACCGCCTCGAATGAGTGCAGATCCCTCACAAGTCCGCCCTAGATGATGATCCGAACCTACTCGAGAAGAAACCGCTGCGATTCGCGGAGCTTCTCCGAAACCTCACTTCTTGATTCAGACTGCGGCGGATCTGAGGACTCCGACCTCCGTGAACTCTCCTTCTCGCAAGAAAGCCACCAAGATCGTCGCCATGGTCTACCCGTCGCGTTCTCTTCGCAAGAGTCATCGACCTGGTCCTTCGATCCTGATCTATTGCCATTATCTCTCCGTGAGCCCGAAGACCCCTATGATGACGAGGAGCTGGAGCGGAGGACTGAGAAGGGGCGGAAGCTAAAGCGGGGATACACCGATGGTCTAAAGAGACCAGAGTCTGCGGTGGCTTTGTCGGAGACTTCGACGCTGTTGGAGACGCAGGAGTTTGGGGAGATGATGGAGCATGTAGACGAGGTGAATTTTTCGCTTGATGGTCTCCAGCCTTGGCAGCCCGCTCGGATTCGGCGGGCCAGCTTGCTCTCTTTGCTAACCATTTGCAGCGTGGCGCAGCGGCGCCGGCTACTTAGGGCTCGGGGGTTAGTACACAGGAATTATTATGATTTTTTTTAAGATTTACGATTGTTGTAATTTCTGTCGTCTGGATCAAGATTTATGACCGATGCTATTCAGTCTAATCGGCAGAAGTTTTCTGCGATTCCTTTTGATGCTTTGTTTTAGATTCTTGTTAATGGGAACGATTCTTTGGCTGTGGAAACCATGGGGTCGTTCTAATTATTACCAAATACACCTGCAGCATCCCTGACACATACCGATGTAACTCATATAAAAGAATCATAATTGTTTGTGTTATGTTGGGGTGCAAGGAGTAGATTTTTGTGCGATGCAAGAAGGAAAGAAGGCATATCAAGCTCTAGGGTTTCCTAATGAAGATATGTTGACGTGTTTGATTTTTTTAATGAAGATGCAAATAGTTTAGTGCAATCAAATGCAGAAATAATTATGCAAAATTATTGAGGAAGTAAAATATATCACTCAAATAACTATTAGTGATGGATAGCAACCAAAATAATATCAAAAAATTTGCGAAAATCAATACATTGCTAGGATAAATAAAACTTCAAATATTGACTTCATGTAAAGAAACAGACCATATAAAGATTTCATGGACCGAATGAAATCTTAACTTCATCCACTCTTTGCAATCAATAATTAAATTAATATGAGAAGAACAGAGAAAGAATCTCACTTGAATAATGGCATCTCATATCAAAAGGTTTGGAAGAAGAGGCCTTCTCATCAAACCAAGATAATTTTATTCGGTAGTTAAATAGAAAATAAGTAGATTTTCTGGATCTTGAAGTATGTTGGTTTGTAAAGGATGATAGCTGGCAACGAACTGTATGATAGACCCATTAGGAGAATTAAAACGTTAGCCACTTAACGACAATAGAAAATAAGAGAGGGGTGCCTCCGCTTAGGCCAAATAACACTATAATAGTTAGGATCACAAAACAATTATGATGTGAAACATACATGCACGGATGATTAGATTAAGGAAGTTGCATGCTTAATTTTAGGAGCCAAAATAATTATATCCTTTATATTGTGTTTAAACGACAAGATAAAATACAAGGAGCGGTAACTCCGGTCTCCTGCCGACCACGGTCCTTCAGGCCAAACAAACCTGTATATGTAACTCTTACCATGTAATGCAATCTATATGATGTACATTTGCTACATCAATCCAAGGCCTTCTCCCAAGGAAGGGCCTCATTTGTAATCGACTACAAATACTAGTGGATTCATTCAAACTGGGCCAGGCCCCGTGGTTTTTCCCCCTTTCAGGGGTTTTCCACGTAAAAAACTCTGGTGTCTCTTATGAATGCTACATCCTCTCACTTATCTAATTGTGTGCTGGATCTTCGTACAATACTAAGACATTAAACTATATTTCTCTACCGCCGCGAATACTCCAGGACGCAACAATAATTTTACTATATTGATATGATTTCAATAGTCTTTATCGATGTTTTGATTTGATGTTTTATATGATTTCTATACTGATTGGTATTACGGATACGACGATTGCTTTATATATTTGATACTTGTACTTATTTAATACTTTACTATCTTTCATACTATAGTTTTTTTTATTGTTTATAGATTACTACTATTGCATTTGAATTTTACTGTTTCTACACTAATTCAATGATCATTTGAATATTGCTACTATGATTTGATCTCTAACCTGTATATTTTTTCTTTACCATACTTTAAATTCAGCTGTAGGTTTTGGTGACCTGTTGGGTCTTTTAAGCTTATTATATGTAGTTAAATGATTTTAGCTCAAGGCATGGGAGCATGAATATGAGGCTGATTAGATTCTTCAGGTTATGTTTCTTTTTGTTCTGGTCATTTTTTTATACTCAAGACATCGTAGTTGTGATATATGATTGTGTATATCCTAAGTAGTGTATATGATTTTAGGGAATTGAATACATATGTATATAATGATGCTTTGAATTATATAATTTTTTATTTATTTATTACTGATAAATGATATTATATAGATCTGGTTGTTATTTATTAAAAGACCAATGAATAATTCTTCCAAATTAAATTATAGGGCATCAGAGAGTGGAGGGCTCAATGATCGACTGTGCAACGTATGAGGTAGGGCGGCTCCGGCTTGACGCAGCCGCTCGTGATGCAATGGAGGCAAAAGAGTCTATATCACAGGGTAGTGAAGACACTCGGCCGTGGAAATAGAAGATATGAAAGAGGATATGGGACCCCATGGAGGTCAGGGACCGCCCTATACACCATTGCATCCCTGGCTTCGTTGGCGTGGCTAAAGCCGAATGATCGATCACTCTATTTTCTTATGTATTTTTAAACTTAAGATTGATTGCATTTTTTTTTTTTGTTCATTAATTGGTGTCTTCTTTTATACTTTCAAAGCTCTTGATTTGCTGCTACTAATATTTTGTTTATGACATGGTGGTTAAGTTATGATATCTTGAAGTATTTCAGAAGGAAGAGGAAACAATAGAGCTTAAAGGCAAGATTCTTGGTCCAACACACCCATCAGCAGAAATGTGGAAGCCGAAAAGGCGAGGGGAGGCCTCCTCTGTGTGATTGTTTGCACAAGATGGAGGAGTAGAGAAAGGCATGGGCCTTCGGAGAAGCTTTAATGGTAAAAGAGGAGTCTGGGTGAGGGTTTGACGTAATACGACGGAGTGATATTTTAGATTATTGAAATGTTACTTTGGTGGTATATAAGTAAATAATATAATTTAAATATAGTTATGTAAAAATTATAATTGTAGGTATTATATAGGTAAAAACCCCTTCAAAATAATATGAAATAAAATAGTAATCAATTGAAAAAAAAAAAAAAACACAAAAATTTTGGAACGTCGAGCGTTTACATCGTAATTTGTTTAAGACTTGTGGTAAAAGTTTCTTCAAACGCCCGCCACCGGTAAGCCGAGAACAGCGCCGAGCGCTCTCTTATTTATTTCCTCTCCCCGCTCATTCCCTCCAGTAATCTTTTCAGAACCTCCTCTCATAGCTATTTTTCATCTCACTCATGGCGTCCATGGCTACCTCTTCCCTCTCCTCGGCGTCCAAATCCCTCCTCTTCGAACACAACCACCATCACTTCCCCTCCATCCTCGGCACCCCCCTTCCCACGCGCGTTACCTCCACCTCCGCCTCGTCCCCAAATCGCTCCCTCTCCATCTCCGCCAAATACGACCTCCAATCCTTCCGCTTCCAACCCATCCGCGAATCCATCGTCTCCCGGGAGATGCCCCGCCGCTACATGACGGACATGATCACCTACGCCGACACAGACGTCGTTATCATCGGCGCAGGCTCTGCCGGCCTCTCCTGTGCCTACGAACTCTCCAAAGACCCCTCCATCCGCGTCGCCATCGTTGAGCAATCCGTCTCCCCTGGCGGCGGAGCCTGGCTCGGCGGCCAGCTCTTCTCTGCCATGGTGGTCCGCAAGCCCGCCCACCTCTTCCTCGACGAAGTCGGTGTCCCTTACGACGAAAACGAGTCCTACGTCGTCGTCCGCCACGCCGCCCTTTTTACCTCAACCATCATGGCGAAGGTTCTCGCCCGCCCGAACGTGAAGCTGTTCAACGCCGTGGCGGTGGAGGATTTGATCGTGAGGGAAGGGAGGGTGGGTGGGGTGGTGACGAATTGGGCGTTGGTTTCGATGAATCATGATTCGCAGAGTTGTATGGATCCGAATGTGATGGAGGCGAGGGTTGTGGTGAGTTCGTGTGGACATGATGGGCCGTTTGGGGCGACCGGTGTGAAGAGGCTCAAGGGGATTGGAATGATTGACGAGGTGCCGGGGATGAAAGCTCTTGATATGAACGCGGCGGAGGATGCTATCGTTAGGCTGACAAGGGAGGTCGTGCCCGGTATGATTGTTACAGGTATGGAGGTGGCGGAGATCGACGGGGCTCCGAGGATGGTAAGTCTCCGGCGATTTCAGATATGAAACCCTTTTTTTTTATTCCATTGCACAATTTTTGTTTTTGGGTGATTCTATAAAAAATCAAAACAGGGACCGACTTTTGGAGCGATGATGATCTCTGGACAGAAGGCGGCGCAACTGGCGCTTAAGGCTCTGGGGAGGCCAAATGCGATCGACAAGACCGTTGGATCGGTGCATCCGGAGATCGTAATAGCGTCATCAGACGGCCGTGATGTTGTCGACGCTTAAATATCTATTGGAACTTGTTCAGAAATAAAGATCGGGAGCATTGTGTGAATCGTGTCCTGATTATGATGTGGTGTGATATGAAAACTGTGGACCACTCGTCCCCACAAATGAGTCTCGTGAATCGTTTTCGCTCTTTTTCTTGTTGTCAGCTTGTAGCTTCTTTATATCATTTTGAATCTTTGATTTGAGATAAAGACACCTTTTTTTTTTTTTTTTTTTTTTTTTTCTTTTTTTTTTTTTTTTTTTTGTGATTTAGGCTTCACTTGTCACGGTTTTTTTTTTATTACTTTTTAAAATATTTTTTTTTTTTGAAAAACTTTGGGCATAATCTGTATATTAATCAAAAAAATTATATGTAATGAAACTAAAGCCTAAAAAAACGAACTTTTATTTGGTCCGATCACCTGACATAGCTCTACGTTCGGACGCTAGTAAAATAGTGTCACGTGTTTTCACTATTTATCGCGCTGCCGACAACCCCGACCCGAAACGGAGACGAGATTTCTATGTTCGCGTGTTGCTAGGTATTGCTCGGTATTGGTCGATTTTGCTCGTCAATAACAAGAAATACCATTCTGTGAAGACCAATACCGAGCAATACCGAGAAATATCGAGCAATACTTAGTTTTTCTCGGTATTGCTTGGTATTTCTCGGTATTCCTCGTTATTGGTCTTCACATAACGATATTTTTCATTATTGCCAAGAATACCTAGCAATACCGAGCAATACCTAGCAATACCGAGCAATACGTAGTAATACCAAGCAATACCGAGTTTTTCTCAATATTTCTTGGTATTGTTTGGTATTTCTCGGTATTGCTCGGTATTGATCTTCACATAGTGATATTTATCATTATTGTCAAGGAATACCTAGCAATACCAAACAGTACCTAGCAATACCGAGCAATACCTAGAGCAATACCGAGCAATATGCGAACATAGCAATCCCAGGTCAAGTCGTCGGGCCGCGCGGTATTGAGTAAGACCACGTGGCGACATGTTATTGACGTCCGAACGTAAAGCTACATCAGGTCACCTGACCTAATAATTGATTCCAAAAAAAGAGACTGGCTCGAAGATTTTTAACATAATTTTTTTTTAAACTATGCTTTTTTTATTAAAGCTAACTTAGAAAGTAAAAAAATTATTCTAAATTAAACCTAAATTTGTGTATCTAATATCTAAATATATTTACATAAATGTCATATATTAACATAGTGGATTATTGGAAGAAGAGGATGCAAGGAACAAACAATAACAGCAAAATGAGTTCAAATTTTAGTATCTCCTCCACATTTCTTCTCCCCAATACATATACCCATTCTCTTGCTATCAAGCTAGAGCAACATTTTACTAAGGAACAGTTGGGTTGGCTATAAAGTGAATACAGTGCAAAGTAAATGCAATGTAAAGTAAATACTTTAAGGTTGTTTGGTTATCAATAAAGTGAAAACGATTGAACTATTTTCTATTTCATTGGGTGGATGCTGAGTAAAGTAAAATCAGCCTATTGCCCCCAATTGATCACCAACCAATTTAACATTCCAAAAAAATAAAACACAGAAGACATATCTTGCAGCTCCAGGTTCTCGCACAAGTTGGTTAGGCCATCCTGCGACTCCAAGTTCCCACAAGGAGTGGCCAAATCAATCAGAAGTGGAAAGTCATACCTCGGAGAAATGGGCTGCAGAAATTTGTAAGGCTTCCACATGATTGTCGATCCTACCAACCACAATCGAGCATGATTGCTTGTACGATCCCGAATTCCGCCTCCGTCTACATTCGACCTGACACCCGCCTTCGCCTATATTGTCCAGTTCCCACACAAGCGAGCAAACCTGCACCACCTCTGCTTGCTCCACACATTAACGGCTCCTGTCCCGCCTCTGCCTGGCTCACGCGAACGAGACCCGAAACCGCACCTCTCGTAGCTCTTCCCATGTGTGCACCATCTAGCCTTCTGTTCCACGAAGTCGAGCGGCAATAGAGAAATAGAGAAATTGAAAATCAAATTATGGATGCCTATGAGGAAGTGATGTTGAGTAGGAACGGAGGAGCCTAAGAAGCTAATGCCCCATGAATTCCTTTCTCGTTCAATTTTGAACGGATTTATTTTACATAAAAACGGACTATAGCGGGAGTTCAAAATACATTATGAATTTAATTTACTTTACTTCGTTGGCTAACCAAACACCAAAATGTTAAAAAATGAAGAACTTAATATGCATTGCAATTACGTTTTTCCCCAAGTACTATTATAACTAAAAAGGTAACTTGGTAGTGCAGAGAAAATAAATAAAAACAAAAAAGTAAGATATATGATATGTTTTTCCCCAAGTCCGTTGACCCAACAAAAGAACTCTACTCCATTGATATGGTAGTAATCAACGTGTCATTGGCAGAGAGGTAGGTGTAAGAATCATAACCAAATCCTTGGATTGAAAATTTTGTGTCTTCGATGCATGCCCATGAGCTCGTCGATTAGCTGTATGAGTAAACTTGTCTTTTCACAATAAGGTGTTTTGATTAAAAAAAATACATCTAAATATATATATAATTTTGAAAAATATTTAATTATCTTTGAGAATATTAAATTTTTAATTTTAAAATTGAACGCGTCATTATGAACAGTATATCACCTCGGGAGGTGATCATATCGTTCTCTAATGGGTTCATATTTTAAAATTTTAAATTCATC